ATGACACCTTCCTACCATCTGACACCTTCGGTTACGGTCAAAGCACACGGAACGATACTGATTTGATCACAGTCCCGTTTGATCATCTGATATTTTAACCTGAAGCAGTTATCTTGTGTGTAATCCAGTTTTAGCTGAATAGTACATCTCGGTGCTTTGGAACATTTGTATTTGAACTGGTCTTATGTTGCTTGCCACCAGTAAGTTCATCCGTCCAGAGGTGAGCTGGGTGAAAGGTCACATGAAGAATGTAAACATCCGAGTCCGAACCGCGCGCTCAAACACACAAAGTCATTTTCCACGGCTTGAAAAACAACACAAACTGTCCTTATTTGTCTCAGCCTGAAGTCGTAATCAGCTTTTTAAATATCTTTGTTTTTCCCCTTTTCTTAGATAAAGAGAGACTGTAAAACAAAACATGGATGACGAAAGAGCTCACGTTTCAACACCCGGTGTGTTTCTTATAGTCTTTCCCTTCTATTTACTTCCACCTTTTGTTTTCGCTTCTCTTTCTCCTTTCATCTTTTTTTGCAAACTCAATAAAACCTGGCTTTGTACATGCCTGAAGTGTTACTTAAAAGCTTCGAATTTGTATAAATTAACAAACAATTTTGTTTCAGTCCAAAAGCTTTATTAAAAAAAGAACCTTTCAGGCCAATGTGCATGTGTTTCTGCATAAAAGTGATAAATATTTACTATCTTACTTATTGTGAAAAGCTTCCTGAATGGCCTTGGTTTGGAGAAACAGGTAATATGAGAGACTGGACTGATGAGCTATACATATTTATGTAAACAGAGGCTGTTCAGTGGGATAACTACAACAGGATTTACACCTGTTAAAGTGGTGCAAAAATAAATGCAACACATCTGAAGCCATTAGATCATCTACACTCTGCACACAGTTGTTTATAAAGGACCCATGCAGACCTTGGCATGACATCCAGTAGCAGCAGCACACAAAAAGGGCCAGTGTGCTCTTCCTGCACCCACCATCTGACCAACACACTGCATGAGTGCATCAACAAACAGCAGTGTCTGGTTTCCCCTCAGAGCCACCAAGCAACAGCAGTGGTGCCTCTTTGTTCCCACTTTAAATAAAAGATAATCCACTCATTTAGTGAAAAGGGGCCTCTGTGCATAATTCAGAGCCAGGTATCAGGTTGACCTGAGTGAATGGATGAGGATAGGAGGACTCTGCAAGGCAGAGAGCATGGCATTAGCAATTAAATGTGTTTTGATGACAGTAGTTAAAAGAACTAGCCTCTCCAGGGCAATAAACACCTCCATTACATCAGTCTGCTGTATTTAAAGTCATAGGTAACATTTAAATCATTATAAAATAAGAGTATTTTGCAAGATCAAGGTGAAAATTGTTGGGAAATAAAACGTGATATTAAGTTTGATTTGCAAAGGGAAACCAAAAACGGCAGCCATGTTTAATTATAATAAATTAAATATCACTTTATTGTCTAAATTATTATTTTAACATTTGTTCAAGCAAATTTTTCCAAGTGTATCAAATTACAAATTGGTTGTGTAAATAGCAATAAACAAAACTGCAGGAAGAGAAATGGCTTTCAGTCAGATGACAGTTGACAACCGAAACTGAGAAGTCCAGGCGATACTAAGAACACCTGCTGCCTGCTTTCTGTACCTGAACGTTACGGTTTCTAATTAGTTTTTAATTTATATTCCTGGTTTCCCTCGCCTGTTACTTATCGAGTGAAGAAAAGCGTAAAAAACGAGGTTAAACCCTACCGGGAACCTTCTCTGTAGGAGACTGCTGCGCCTGGTGACGTCCAGTAATGAGCTTTCCTTTTTCCTCCACGAGCAGCTACTTTACCTTATTCCCTCCCTGGGGATGAAAGGTAACGGATGACCGAGCGGACCAATCAGAAGACGCTATAGGTGGGCTCTTTGGGAAAACGCGACATCCTATTGGTCAAATGATGTTAATGGGAGGAACGGGGAAAATGTGGATTTCCTTGCATTGTTTTGATTGAATCACTGAATCCTGATTGTGTAAGATTTAAAGCGGTTTAATAAAGACAAGATAGCTATTTAACTCAACATAGTTAATTAAATCAGTCAAAAAATGGCCATACATCGGAAACCATGTTTTAAACCCTATTTTTAAACTATTTATAGTTATTATATTCATTTATTTATTCATTTATTTTATTCTAAGGGGGGGAATGAAGTAAATATATGTAGTATACGTATCAACACAATTTGAATGAAAGGAGTAATAAGTATTTTATCTGCCCCTTTTGTCAAAATAAAATTAGTATTACATTCCTAATGATCATTTGTGATATTATAATTGAAAATTGCCCAAACAAGATTAAAATTTTTAAGTGATCTCAAAAAGCCAACAAGAAAAATTCATAAACTGCTGCTAAAAGAATCAAACTGTCGAATTCTAAATAAAATATTAAAGAAAACCAAAAAGGTATCACAAAGTGATGCACAATGACTCAAACAGACTCAAAAGTAAAAAATCCTAAAGAAGCATTAAAAGGATTATGAAAATGTTGTTAAAAATAAAAACACTAAGGTTAAAGACAGAGACAAATAAGCATAAGCAGGACAATCCAATGAACTGAGGGGTGCTGTGTGCCAAAAGGCACAGCAGGCAATTGCTTGGGGCCACCAGGGGCCACCAGAGGGCTGACAAATTTTGAACCAATTCATAGCTACAACAGTAGTGAGACAATAAAAAGCTGTCGTTTCACAGCACCGTTGGACTTCTCACACTCCCTGGCGGGGCCCTTCACCACCTTCCCAACTGCTCAGCCAAAGACGGGCCACACACTTCCTCATTTTCAGAACCCACAACAAACACGCCATTACCGTTTCCACACAGACAGTGAAACAGCCCCAAGCTTACTTGTTTATGTTGGACAACAGGTGTTTTTGCTTGGGCCTCCATGACCTTTCATCCCCACTGAGTAAACTTAAAATAGTTTTGTGGTTCCACGCACAGTGACTGAACACATATTTTCCATTTAAAGAAAAAACTAATTGAGCATAAAATATTGATAAGATTATCTGAGGGACATAAAACTTCAATTGCGTATTTAAAGTGAATGGATGAAGCAACTCATGATTTTTATTTTTTCTGACAACCTTGTTTTCAAGCAGCAGTCTGTGAAGTAAATGGCATTATGATCTTACCTTGTAAATATCTGTAGTATCTGATAAATCCTTCAATACAGTAGTATTTGGAGTAAACCCAATTACTGATGGCCACCACAACAAAAATTGCCAGAATGCTAATGATTTTACAGAAATTAAGCTGAAGGTATTAGCTGATAATCATTCACATCAAATACTGACTGCTAACAGATCATACAATTAAATATGTAATCATAACTTTTACTCATGTAAGAGGATTATTGAAATTTTAAATAAAAAGTACAAAGGAGCCATCAGTAAAAACCTTGTTTCAGCAACCTATTTAGCTGTTTTGTAATTGTTTGAAAAAGAATTAAAGGTGTGAAACATTCGTTTAATCAATAAATTTGCAGTGATATCTAATATAAATGAACGCCTTGTAAGTCATACTCTGGAGCCAAAAAACACTGGTGCACCATTTCCAGGAACTAAAAGTGAACCACATCACAGCTGAGCTTCAGACGGCAGGATTTGGAGTCTTATTTCCTGATCTTTGGACATCTCTCCTCTGATTGGCTAACAGCAACACAACTCTACCACTGACTCAGTTTGCTTTGCAACACTGATGTTTTATATCCACAAATAACACAAGCTTGGAGGAGCTTCTGCAGTGTGGTGGAGTTGCTAATGCTAACAATTAGCTTCTAATAGCAGCAACACCCTCTGTGGTTTCCTGGACGCTAACCAACAACAGCCTTCCTCGTCATGATTCAAAATGGGTGAGTCCATGAACGTTAAAGGTAGAGCAATCGATGTTTCTGAATTTCAGGAAAGAACCGCCCTCTCCACATTGTGCAACACTCTCCCAGCGCCTGTTTCCAAGCAGCTGCCGGCCGTAATGTGTAATAAGAGTCTCTAAAAATAGCATGCAGAACATTAGCTTACCTCTCGAGCAGAAAACCGGCAACAGCGGCGTCTGTGGGGAGTGGACTGGACCGCGTTAGCCTCTTCCTGATTTCCATGAGAGTGCAGGGGTGCACAGAGTACGCATGTGCAGGAAGTGAAAACTAACCCAGGATTGGCTTCACCAGAAATTGACATTTTTGCGGACCAATGGTTGACGTGATCCACCCAGAAGAAAAACGATTGCTATACCTTTAAGTGACAGTGTGACGTAGATCTGTCAGGATTTTCACCATCTATCTTCTATCAGAAGCTAATTTTGGAGATAGATGTAGGAGACCATTTTCATGTTCAGCCTGCATGAAAAACTCGAAAAACGATAACACACCTAAACATATCCATATATATATATATATATATATATATATATATATTCCATTTTTGGTTCTTTTTAAAACACAGGAAAGGTTTTTCTTTACCTTGCTGACGTACGTTTCGTTTGCCGACTGCAAAACATCCTCAGAGCTGACGCTGATGGTGGCATCACTTCCTACTCCGTTTATCCGCGGGCAGCAGAGGATGTTGTCGCCTTCTGCTGCCCGATCTCTCCTCTCCGATGATGCAGTCCCATGCGAGATCCAATGAGTAAACGCCATCGTCTCTGTTCATGGTCCCCCATCCACGTCTCCTTATCTCTATAGCTTCTTTTATCCATCTTTTGTATTTCTGTTGTCCGGTGTTTATGATCCTTGTGTTGCATCATCGGAGAGGGGAGAGCGGGCAGCAGAAGGCGACAACATCCTCTGCTCCCCGCAGATAAACGGAGTAGGAAGTGAAGCCACCATCAGCGTCAGCTCTGAAGATGTTTTGCAGTCGGCAAACGAAACGTACGTCAGCAAGGCAAAGAGAAACCTTTCCTGTGTTTTAAAAAGAACCAAAAATAGAATTAGAAACTAAACACAGTAAGAACACACCAAAGATATCCATATATATTTTATTCTCAATACAGCAAAATACAAAGAATATTCAGGACAGACTCTCATTAGTCACAATTAATACTCACTTCACAAGAATGCTTTTTTTAAATTACATGACCTAAGTTTGAAGATCAAACTCAACAGGTACCTTAAATCATATTGCATCCATCATTTATAGCATCTCCATCATCAATTCTGCTAAAACTAGTCCAAATTCAGATTTTTGTACATAGTGTTTGCTGCCGGCCTCACTCTGGAGACGCGTCATAGAAAAAGGTGTTGTACAACATACTGTATAAACTGCTACAACTGTTCTGATGAGAAATACCTCTGTTCGAAAAGACATGTTGGAACAATTGTTCAAAAAGAGACATGGTAAACATGTCTGTCTCCGGAGGACGCGGACGCACTGTACATGCCATGAGAACAACAATATACACTTAATGAAATACACAGCTCCATATTAAATATAGAGAAGACAAAATATTCGCACTTGGATTTAGAGACGTTAAAGATTATGTGGTGACTGATACTATCGGACAGTGAAGGAAAGGACAAAGTGTACGAGCACGTAAGAAAAGGACAGAAATCAAACTGATGTACAGTGTTAACAGAGGGTGATCATCTGTAACAACTTAGGGCATGAAACGAACACTAAAGTTCACGGAGGACGAAAGAAAAATGTGCATAAAGTCTTTCACAATATATTTACAGCATTTATGTTCTTAAATTTAATAAAAATGACAGCCTGTAGTAAAAATTGCCCCTTTAAGACGCGTTATATTTACAATTTACACAGCTGTATTTAAATAGAAACATGCAAATGTTAACATCTTTCTACTTAATGTCAAAAAAGACCTCTTCTTACCCTGGATTCTTTCAAGTTAGAATATTAATTACTACTTACAATGAAATCTCTTCATGACCCACTCCGATAACATTTACAGCTTCCTATTTCATAAAATCCTCATCAAGGCAAAATAGGAAGAAAACAAATATGCAAAAAGGGCAGAAAAATAAATAAGTGTGAGTAGCAAACTGTTAAAAATGATTCTACTGCTACTTTTGTTATTACTTATAAGATAGTGTAGGGAACACAAACCTCTACTTACAAAGTGTACCAGTGTATGAAGACATGACTGAGGAGTTTCTATGAGAAAACTCACCTCCAGCTTTAAGTACAAAGTGACTAGAAGTCACTTTTGTATGGTTATTTAAAAAATCTATACATAGGTATATTACACTAAATTGCAAAAGCTAAAGGCATTAGCATTTTTCAGTTAAACAGTTTTTAATAGAGGCAGAACAAAAACAAAAAGGAAGTCCCAAGCTTAAAAATGATATTCTTCCCCCGATTCCCCTTCACACAAATAGACTTTTTGTTTTTCTAATAAAAAAAATCCTGCATAGATCAAAATAATACCTCCTCTGACTTTCTCTTATTCAACTGTAAGAGAAAATAACAGTTTCCCTGCTTGCGGTAAAGGCTAGGGAGCCGGTGAAGGAAAAAAGAATGAAAAAATAAGTGACAAGCCAGAAAAATGGTAAATGCTTAGCCAAGAGAAGACGATGTAAAACAGACACCTTCGCTATGCATTTTTTTTAGCAATTTAAAAATATCATAAAAATAATATTTGGCCCAAAGTTAGAATTTTCAGCATGTTTTGGTAGGAAGTTGGCCTAAAATAACCAAAAAGGAAAGTTTCTCTAATTAGCCGTCATGACCTTCAATCAGCTAGGTATAATATCAGCATTTGCTTGTTTATATCAGTAAATTCACATGAACAAAGGGACAATTGTTCACATATATAAGAAAGCAAATAGCATTTTCCTGCTGTGAAACATCTCCGTTTTAAAACCCTTGTTCTCATAACCTCCGTTCAATCCTGCATTTTGCTTGGCTGGAATAAAAAAAAACTGCTTGGTATATAAATATAAAGTTTGTATTGGTCATTATACGTCTTCTTTGATAAATACGATCATAAATTTATAACTCTTCACTGATGCAACACTGCTAACCCCCTGTTGTACCAAATCAGCACAACAAAACAACCCAGTTCTCATAAAATCTACTAAATAAATAACTGTGCTGTTTATGTTGGACACAACCTTCAATACTTAAGACAAACCCTGCAGTTCTTAAGAAAAATACACTCGATTAAAAAAAAAAGACTAAAAAGACAAGTAACACTGAGGAAGTGGCTCTGGTTTGAGGGAAGGTCTGAAACAACGGCGCTACAAATGTAAAAACATCTCAAAAGAGCAGAATTCTGATGCTTTTATTAATATTACTGCCAATTTCATAGTGAGAGAAGTTATTTTTATAAAGTAAAGCAAAAACCTCTTCCAACATTTTGACTTTAAGAATTGGAAATAAGTTCACGGTTTGAAACAAATAAACTGAAGATTTTATATGAATTCAGTCAGAAATGTTCCATTTAGCTGGCATTTATAGGATTATCCTCAGCTGCTAAGAGACTACAATGAAATATAAATCAAAATGGTAGCTTTAGAGCAGGGTTACTCAACCCTAGTCCTCAGCACTCCCTGTCCTGCATGTTTTCTGCTTCAAGCACACCTGGTTTACATATTTGAATAGCCTCCTCAGGAGGACATCAAGTGCTGCAGAAGCCTGTGAGTCCATCATTAATTTAGGTCAGGTGTGTGGCAGTAAACACCAGTGTTTGAAATGGCAACATGGAAAACATGCAAGGGGGGGGGGCTGAGGACCGGGGTTAATAAACCTGGTTAAAAGGACTTCATCCACCAACTTACTTATATATTATTGCATGTAAATAATTTTATGACTGCTAACAATTGTGGCTAAAGCAAAAATCAAATAGAATAAAAAGAAGTAAAATCAGGTATTATTGGTGACTGTTTTCCTGTAGCTCACACACAAGGCACAAAAACGATAAAGAGAAACATTCATTTTAAAGCACCTTTGGTGTTCCTGGAAGGTACTTTGGTGGAACAAAATTAAATAAAAAGCTAAAAGCCAAAGTAGCCCACAAACAAAATCTCAGTTTTAGTGTACTCAGAATAAATATTTCACCCAGTGCCAAAGAGATAAAAACCAGGCCTTCAGAAAATTTCATAAGAACGCAGATGAACGATCAGTTGTTTTTGATTCCTGCTGCAGCTGCGACGCTTGGTGCAGTCGAAGGGGAGAGATGTCCGAAATTTGCTCAAAAGTCTTTTTGGCAAGCTGGTGCAAAAAAGAAATATGGACACAGTGCTGGAGAGAAGTCTGCCAGGTTAACCACATGTGAGCGTACGTGGAGGACTAGAGGTGAAGGAAAGGCTGAGGTTCGGGTGTGTGACAGGAAGCAGCTTGCAGGGAGCGAATGCTCGCTATGGAATGAGATCAGAGTCCAGCCGCAGCCAGTGGAGACCCTGCCGAGTGTAACGCACCAGTTCTGTCATGCTGCTGGTGTTGAAGATCAGTGGGCCCATCGCTTTGTCCAACTCCATGAAAAAATCTGAAACAACAAAGCAAAAAAAGGGTGACCAATGGCCGGGAGATGCGAAGGCTCGGTCCTCTTAGCTGTTGTCTCCATACCAAATCGTCTCTTTCAGGACTTCTGCTAAACGTCAGCATATTGTGGCCATTTCAGCAGTGAGTGATGTCACTCATCAGCACCCAAAGTTATCCGCAGATACTTATATTGTATTCAGAGGACCAGGAGAATGGTTGTGTGATGAAAAGCCGGCTTTCAGTGGCGAGAAGCCCCAATTTGTACAAAGAAGTGGACAATAAAGAATTTCAGGGGGATTTTTTTCAGGGTTGTCAAGTTAGACATGGCAAATTTAAAGCAGCATCCATGCTTTTGTTTTCCTAACATTCCGCTTCACTATGAAATCTTCAAACTTTACAAAAACCATTTTTTGGCAACATAATTTCTCACCAAATTATAATCAGCCCAAGTTAAGCACAAGTCCCGCCCAGCGACTCTACCGGGGCATTTTAGAGTACATGCCCCTGTTCAGGTACTCATTTAGCTCCTGAAATGGCTCAGAAAACGTTTAAGGCTGACCCAGTGAAGTGGAGACACGCATGCCATGAAGGTTCTGTAAAATTACCCGGAAGTTCTGAAAGCAGAAGTGGATCTAATGTTATTCATAACCAACAAAATTTGATGAAAACACATGATTTATTCAACACCCATTCCAGGTCAGAAAATTAAACCTTCTCAAACACAAAAATTGCTACTTTCATATTGATGCAGTAGAAGTTATGATAAGATATCTACTGAGAATTAATAAGTGTCTCAACAACATCTGTATTTGTTTGCAAACACAGTTAAACTACTGAGTCACCAACTTTGAAGTAAAGATACGGCAGAAACTCCTACCTTTCTGCTCCTTGGACAGTTGCTCGGCCTGGTCCCAGATCTCGGTGGCGTACAGGAAGTTGGAGGTGACCTGGACGTAGCTAGCAGCCATCTGGTGGATGCGCTGAGGTATGGTCACGGAGGAGCTGGTGTTGCTGACAGTCGAGTAGCCTCCTGCAGTGCCGGGCGACAGTTTGGGCGATACCGGAGAGGGCATTCCAGCTGCTTTACTGTTTGAAAAAAACAAACAAAAGAACGTTTGTTGGATGTTAAGGTAGCGCGACTCGTGTTGCGAAGGACCACAGTCACCAATTCTTGTCACGTGTCTTGCCCATGTATGTCTGATCTCTGAATTGTGTGTACTGAAACTCTATTTCATTTCTCTGTATGTCTTGCACATGTGGTAAAATTGACAATAAAACTGACTTTGACTTTGAAATGTCAAAATGCATTTACTCACTAGTCACAGGATTGATGCCATTCGCAAATAGAAATATTAGGGGTGGGACTTAATTAAAAAGTAATCTGATTAATTAGAGGCTTTGTAATTAATTGATTAATCTTAATCAATTGCATTTTAATCGCGCAAGAAAACTTGCCTCAAAAGCAATTTTTCAATTAAAAATAATTAGGCAGAGAATCAAACCATACCAGTTGCATGACCTAGTGGCAGAGTGTCAGCCCTGGGACTGGGAGATTAGGGTTCAAATCCCCGTTGGGTCATCCCAAAGACTTTACAAAAATGGGACCCAATGCCTCCCTGCTTGACATTCAGCTTTAAGGAGTTGGATTAGTAAATAGTTCTCGAGTGCGGCCAAGTCTGCAGCTCACCGCTCCCCACAGGGATGGGTCAAATGTGGAGGACAATTTTCACCACACAACTATGGGACTTTAACAATAGACAAAAACTCAGGCTCTTTGAATTTCTAAAAAAAATGCTTTTAAATTGTGCTTAAATAGAAAACAGAAAAAAAAAGTAGTTTTGAACAGCTGCTGTGTGTCATACTTTTAAAATGCACTGCTGGCATAGGCTGGAGCTATACCAGAAGCTTCACTACACAGCTTTCTACCTTTGTGACTTATTGGTCAATTCGGATGATTGACACCTCTTAGGTATTTTTAGGGCCAACAGAATGAAGCGTGACTCATCAAAATTAGACTGACAGCTTAGTCAGCCAACGAGACTCATTGTAACACGGACATCCACAAACCAGGAAAGAGAAAAGTCCTACTGGATGTTTGAGTTCTAAGCCTGTTTATTTATTTATTTATTTTTGTCAAACTGGCTTAGTTTTCTGTCTAATCTGGTTTCAGTGTGACAAAAGAGGGGGGAATACCTTCTGTTTTAGTTTCTCTCTGGCTTCTATCTCTGTAAAACTTCAGTGTGGAATGTTGGGGGATACATATTTAGAATAAAACGGGTGAATAGAATGTGTGTAAAATGAGATTTTTGGCAGTGTTAAGAGACTGAAATGAAAGCAAAAACACTCACACAGGAAGAGGGATTTCTGATGAATTATTTGATTGTAGTTTTAGTTGTGAAAAAGGTGAAAACAAGCACTCTGTGCATAGTGAAGAACCAAAAAAATGGAGTAGTTTTAGTTGTGCTTGGAGCACAAAAATAAAGTCTTGTATCCAAGGTTCTGATGGTTTTTCTTAGATGCAGCTTGACGATGTTTATTGATATTCAGGAAAATTATTTTGCTCCTAAACTTCATAGCCCCCAATCATAGCCCTTGAGCTCAAAGGGTCCATTTTTAATGCATTTTTTTTCTAATTAATCATAGTTAACTATTTAAATTCCCAGCCCTAATAAATATATTTAAAATCTTAAGGTTTTAATAAACTTGAGTACCGATTTACCTAAAATAAAGAAACAGACCTCCTTTTTCCATAAGTTCACAAAGCAGCAAAGAATACATGACTTACTTTCCCATTCCAGGAGAGGGAGCCTGGGTGTTACTTAGAGAGTTCTGTGGAACAAAATCAAGAACATTATGTTCACACGACATTTCACATTTACATCCTACATCTGCACATATGGAATGGATGAACATTTTTAAACATTTGAGAATGTGTGAAACCCAAAGCACCTTCAAGTGTTCTGTGAGCGTTTTGGAGTACTTTAGAGCACTGTCTTTCCTCAGTTTGAACAACCGCAGGTAGAGGAGTGACTGGCATCGGAGGCTGGGGGAAAAAACATGCAATTATTGCACTCTGGAGAGGAAAGCAATGCGCAGGCAGATAATTTCAGCAAACTAATAATCTGATGAGGTGAGACGGTCTACTCACCAAAGCACCGCTAGCCTCTTGTCTGCTGAAGTAGCGTCTGGAGCCATGTAGCTTTTTAACTTCATAGTGTATCTGAAAGCAAAGGCAGGACATGTTCCACCAAATCTGTTTGTACAGCAGATCCACGCAATATTTTCTTCTCTGTCAAAAGCTAGTTCTTACATTACCCAGAATGCATTAGCATAACTATTTTCATGTTTTAAATCTTTTGTAACTTTAAGGACACATATACATTTTTGTTTACACAAATCTCATGACCAGACTCCATTTTTGAATGTGAACTCCACAAAACAAACACTTTGATGTCTATTCTTACTTGATGAGCTCCACTGTCTCAGCATACATGGGGAAAGGCGACTTGGCTTCTTGGGCACTCTTCTCCAGGGCGTTGCCGCACTCGATGAAGGAAACCACGGCATCAAGGTAGCAAACTGCCTTCACAAAACGGTCCAACTGTGAAGGAAGATTGGGATTTAAAACAGATTCTCGTACTACATTTCGTGTTGTTACTGATTTTAATTGGTGATTGACTTGTCCCAGCTTACCAGAGTGTCTGCATTGTGCTTGAGTTTCTTGGCTTCTTGTAAATAGTGATCAGCCGAACAGACCCTGGAAAAAATTTATTAGCAGGCCAAATAAATATTGGGCATTTATTCCTATTTCCTGTTTATTCTCTAAATATAAATCTGAAACAAAAAAAACTGCTACAATTTCAGAAGCTTAATGTTATGTCTTTATAATGTAAAATTACCGCAAAAAGTCTAGTCCTTTAAATATGGAATTTTACATAATCTTTCTGGCACTCACTTTTATTCACGACCTCCCCAACCTCCTGTAGTTTCGTGCATCAAAAGCAACCCTAGAGCCCCCAAAGCAGCATTTTCCGACTCCCGCTGAGGGGTTATCCACAGTGAAAAGGGCTCCGCTTACCTGTCCTCAAAAGCCAGCTTGGCTCTCTGAGACTTCGAGCCCTCCATGGAGAGAGGAGGCACTGCCATCTGGTTATTGGATACTTTTTCCTGAACAGACAAAAACAGAGATATACTGACATTCTGAGTAAAAAAAAATGCTCTGGTAAAATGTACTGAGTGAATTTCTTTACTCATGTAAAAAGTACAGGTTCTAGAAAATACTTAAGCACAAAAAGTAAAAAATATGTTCACCCTAAACAACACAAAATAATTTCTGGATTGGGTTAAGAATTTTATTTAAACAACAACAACAACCATATGTTAAAATGTACATAAGAAAATCCCATTTGGCTGAAGCTGCGTAGCTTGTCCTCGATCCTCAAAAAGCTTTCCTAAAGAAATTATTTGTACAACCGTCTCAAAAGGAAAAAAATTCAAGACACACAAAATAGCTTTGTTTTCATCTTTTGTTTATCAGGACTGTGCTGGTACAGAAAATAACACAAATTACTGACAACCTTAATATTTTAGATTTCAAATGTTCAATTACAGTTTGGTCTCAAGAGCTGGAATTTGCATTTGTCTGCAATTATCACTGCAGCTGCAGTGGCTCTACTACTTTTGTTCCATAGACTCCAGCACTTAGAAAATGCTGAACGAGAAGGTGTCTTGTAGGTAGCGTTGGCATTTGTCTCTGAGGCACCAATCATTGACACCAAGTTCAGGAGGTGGCAGGCACAGTGATAATGTTGGTATTCTAGACCATCATCTTTATCCAATATGGCTCCAGCTTCGACAAACTCAAGATCCACATTTTGCCCTTCATCCTTGTCATTCTTTTTCTGCCTTGTCCCCTCAAAAGGTTCACCCTCTTCTTCCAGAACTCCATAGAAATGTGGGCACTGTTGACATCAGTGTTTAAGTTTGTTTAAAAAACAAACTAATTCATAATTCTAACCCGCTACTGCCTATGTTCGGCCACATTTGCGGGTTCTACTTTTTATAAACTCTATGGTTAACACTTATATGGTTAATATTTATATGTCGATGGGTTAACAGGAAGCTTTAGCTAGGCATTAGCTCCGGAAAAGCTAAGTGGAGATCTGGAGCTAGTACGGCGAAGGAACGCGTTCATAAACCCGTTCACACACGCCAGGACGAACGCGCTCACTTTTACATTCATCAGGCAAAATACGAACCAGTTCAGTTCACGTTCACAAAAAAACAAACAAAAAAAACCAACTAACAAATTCACGAACGATCATTCAATGAACGCGTTCGGGCACAACACTGGTTGACGTTTCATTGATTCCAAAAACTTTGAACTAATTTTGGGAACTCAAAATTGGTTTGGTAAGCTCAGTGACCCTTGACCTCTATGCACAGGTTAATCTAATTTATGAGAAGGGGGGGGGGGGCAATTGTAAGTTTCCCTCCTCTTTGAATATTCTCTGAAGAACAGCAACATGGGGTCTCAAAACAACTCTCACATGACGTGAAAACATCAAGTGATGTAGACCAAAGACCTACAACATCATCTTGCTGCAGACGAAGTCACAGTGCATCATTTAACTATTCGGCGCACTTTACACAAGGAGATGCTGTATGCGAGTGATGCAGAGGAAGCCTCTTCTTTGCCCACAGCACAGAGCCACTTGAGGTATGATAAAGCACATTTGGACAAGCCAGCTTCATTTTGGAATAAGGTGCTGTGGACTGATGAAACTAAAATTGAGTAGGAAAATTATGAAGATTAAACATGGCTGCCTAACCTTTCACATCCCACTGCATGTGGTTTAGTGCACCAGAAAGTGCAGAAAATGTGTGCGACCCTTTTAGCTGTTTGCACGTTAGTGCAGTAGAGCATCTTTCCATGGTTTTAGGCTCCATCCAATGTTCCGTGACACCAGTGAAACTTTGTGTGCAATCCAGCTGTCTGTGGTGGCATAGGCTGCAACCTCACTCATAGCAGCCTTTAGATTTTTCATCTCCAGTTTAGCTTTCTCAATTTTCTTCCCTTTTTTTTGGTGCCTCAAGACATTACAGTCACACCTGGTTGTAGTTGATGCACAGGAGTTTAAAACCCTCCTGTCTGACAACATAGAGGGTTCAGACCTTGTAAAAACAAAGTTAATGATGGCATCACCCATGCTTTTCTGTGAAACTCTCTTGGTTTCCCACAGTTTAGCAGTTTGTTTGGACCACCGTTGGTGGTTAATTTCCACTTCAGACTAGTTGATGTTAGATCGTTATACCTTTCCAGGTGATTTGCGTGCTTCCTTTATACAAACAAAGAGAAGACCAGTGTAGTTAGGTACGCAAAAGTACAAGATGAAGAAGAAAAGTGTATTTGTGCAGGGCCTTCCGAAATAAAAAAAATCCCAAGGTGCTTGAACTGGTTTTCTAAGGCGCTGTCCACACGTAGCTGGGGATCTGCCAAAACGTAGATATTTTTCTACGTTTTGGCCTGTCATCCACACGAAAACGGATCTTTTTAAAAACTCCGGCCAAAGTGAAGATCTGCGTTTTCTCCGTTTTGGGTGTCTGCGTGTGGACAGACAAAACCGGAGTTTTAAGGTCCGCAACGTCACTTTCCGCGACAAAAAATGCTGACATCACATGTGCGACCTGTGTTTACACTAGCCGACAGCATGCGCTCGCTTTATCAATTGTCCAAGCGCTTTTTGCTTGTTTGTTTTTGCAAGCAGAATTGCTGCTCCTTGCGGAAGACCACAGACGAAGGACGAGGTTAAGAACGTGGGAAGTACTGCCGCCTATAGGTCAGGCATGTCCTTAACAACGTATTTATCCAGGTACGTGTGGACAGAGTTTTTTTTTAAACGAGGTGGTGTGGATGCAAGTGTTTGGAGGGGCGGATATTCGTTTTTAAAAAACCCCGGCTACGTGTGGACTAGGCTTAAAAGGGTAATTGACAAATGACTACTGTAGCAGAGCTCTCAAACAGCCTGAGACACACACACACACACACACACGTGTGTGTGTGTTCAGAGCTCTCAGCCTCAAAAATTAGACATTTTCCACTTGGTACAAAAACAGAGTGGGGCAGAGGATCATCTGCGACCACAACATTTATAATCTGTAATTACTTCAACATCTGCAGAAATTTGCTCACTCTGAAAATCCTATAGGATTACCAAACTTATAAACTTACTTACAAAACATGCTAAATTAGCTCATGCAGCATACCTGTATGTGTTTTTTCAGATTTGATGGTGAATTCTTAAATGCTTGAAGCTCGTGGTGTTTAGGCAGGCACAGAACACAGCGCATTTGCCATGAATCGCTCTTGGAGTCAACAACTTTAAAAAGCTCTTTTAAATAAGGCCAAGGAAGAAGAATGCAGCGCTCCTTCAAATCTGCAGCATTTCTCAGACCACTGTCTTCATCTATGTTGATAGTTGTTCTGCGTCTCAAACCGTGCTCCCACCGAACGCCTTCTCGCTGCTCCGTTTTCCGCCTGTTTTTTTTTAACATAGATGTTCGTGTATTACATAGTATGTGCACTACGTGAGGTATGTGTCGAAGTAACGAGGCCATTTTGAAGATAGAAGGAATAGAAAGTACTCAAATGCATGGAGTATTATTAAAAAGCCATCAGAAAATTAAATACTCAAGTAAAGTACAGACATACTTGAAAGAAATATACTATTAAGTACAGTAACAAAGTATTCGTACTGTGTTAATTTCCGCCTCTGAAACACAGTAAATAGAAAGTTTTGGATGTTACACAATGAAAGAAAGGTGAGTGAAGTCAGTAAAAGAGCATGAAGGCTTCACTCACATCAGCTTTTCCATCGCGCGTGCGTCCCTTGTCCTCTCCTTTTCTGTGTTTGGAGGTAGAACTGCTCTTGGTGCCGTGGCTCCCTTCTTTTTTACTTCCGTTCCCACTCGACAGCACGCCAGAGGACGAGTTGACTGTTCCCTTTCGACTTGGATGCTCTCCCTTAGGTGTCCGCTGAGAGCCCGACATAGAAGGAGAAGGGGCGGGCTCCTCCTTCTTCTCCGACGGTCGCTTTGAGCTGGTGGAATATGAATCATCGCTGCATTAAGGATTAAATACAAACATCAGGGGAAACTCACAACAAACCAGAGACTATAGAAAGAAGGTTACCAAGTGAAGTTAAGGAGGACGAGTAGAAAATAAACAGGCTAAACAAATGAGTCTCTGATTTTACCATCATTGGGAAAAGTTAAAGACTTTTCCACTGAGTGAATCCTAATGGGGACAAACAGATAAAATACTCACTCTTTACTGCTGTTTTTATGATGGGAAATAGACTTTTCGTCTTGCTTGAATCTTTTGCTCTCTGGCTTTGTGCCTTCCTCGTCGTTCTACAGATAAAAACAGACAAAATTAAACACACTATATGAGTATTTGGATGTATGATGGTTGTTTTGATTCGACTTGCTTTTAAACAGATTTGAACATGTACTAAGTAGAGTAAAATTACATTTCTGCAACAAAAAAAAAAACATACCCCCTGCTGATTCCAACATCTAGTAGACCCGGGTGATGAAACAATTTAATCAAATAATTCAAAATAGCCAATTATGAAGATTTAATTTAGGAAAATCTGGATGTTTTTTCACTTTCGGGCAGAGAAGAAGTAGAAGCAGCCAAATCTTCCACTGCTGTGTTTTCACTCATACGCAGTTAGACCACCGTTCAGTCAGCGCTGTTGACACTAAAACCCACTACAGCTGGATTTTTACCTTTGATGATAGCTGTTAGCTAATCCAGCAGATTCTGGAACAGTCACGCAACGGAGCTTCCTGTTCAATCCAGTTACTAGCATTGATGTAGCTAATTAAGGTTCAGTCGCTAAACACACTAGTGTTTAAAGAGGAACTTTTAATGCATTTGTTTTGGTCTCCAGTAGGAACGAATGCCTTGTAAGTCGTACTCTGGGGGTAAAAAGATCAGGTGCACGTTTCAGCACAGAAAAATCAGCCAGAGAACAAAGTGGCAGAACACGACAGAATTTGGACTCTGATTTCTTGATATTTGGACATCTCGCCTCAGATACATACAACACAAAGCTAGCATTGGCACACTAGCCTCAACGTAGCGAAACATAACATTAGCAAACTAAAACCGATAAAGGCTGTCCAAACTATGTCTGATACGTAACGTGCAAAGGCTTCAATGATCACTGGAAAATAGTTATCAAAGTGTCGGTGGTAAACATAGCTGCATTCCAAGCATTAGCCTGACCCGGGTGTTGAATGTTTATAACTTTAACAGTAATTAACAGAGATCTATGGTAATATCTTGATCTTAAAAGCAGGCTTTACAGCTTGTATTTAGTTGGACTTTGAATTCAGGTCAACTCCTATAAGGAACAATTAAACTAAAAGCAACTTTTTGAACATTTTTCTGTTATTTGTAATTTCTGTTTGGGGAAAAGGAGAAAAAATATCAAACTGAATCAAAAATCGGATTTGGAATGAAAAAAAATTCCTAAGATGTTATCTTTAAGCCATATCGCCCAGCCCTACTCTCCAGTATTTTTTTTAGCTAAAAAAAAACACCCATCCAATGGATGAAAATAAAAATCTACATTTCTTTGATTATTCTTTGGTTTAAATAGATTTTTTTTTTTTTGCTTCAGTAGACACCAGGATGAAGGTTTTCCTAAGAGTTTCTATTCTGAAAATAAATATAATTTTTAACCTGATTTTAAAAAATTAACCTAACAGAACCCAATGACAGGAAAAAACACTGAAGTGGGCTCTACCTTGTGTTTCCTCTTGGACTTGCTATGCTTACTGAAGTCCTTGCTGTCTCGATCTTGAGAGTCTTCCCTCTCCACTTTGATCTCCACGGGTTCCTTGTACGGCCGCCCTGGGATCCTAGACAGCAAGCTGAGATCTATGGGAAAGGGAAAGGTTGTGCTTACATTTGGTCCAAAATAAAGAAAAGCATCAGCTACATCAACTGCAGAGCCGTTCGGACCAACCTATCTTGACGAGTAAAGACTGCGGATGAGGCTGCCTTGTGGGGTAGCGCTCCTCAGGGTCGCTGAGCGGAGACAACACCTCTTTCTCTTCCATAGGTGAAAACACACATACAGGGGTCCTGATACTCTCTGGGTACTTGGGAGTCTGTGACGAGGATGGGATGCTGTCATTTCCCTCCGAATCAGATGATGAAGAGTCTGTGCTGACAATTTCACGAGACTGGGGCGTCTTGGTAGGTGCCTTGGTTTTGCGTTTGTCTGTAGTGGTGGTGACGGTGGCTGCAGAGGGCCTGGGTGAGGACTTGGGTTCCTTTTTGATGCTTGGTTTTCGGGAACCCTTAGTGGGAGCTTTGGGTTGGTGAGGAGGTATTTCTGGAGCCGGCTCACTCTCCACCTTCAGACCCCCCTTTGGTTCCTCCACCACAGGAGGCTTCTCTGATTTTTTAGGCTGCTTTTTGCCCACTCGGGAGCGAGAATTTGTACCACCGTTACCCTGGCCGGGCGATTTTTGACGTCCACGGCCACCCTCCGAACCCTTCTGCAGTGCGCGCAAGTCCCTGCTTGGAGGTGCTGGGGCCGTATCCTTTGACCCTCCTCCCTGACCACCATAACCGCGCCCTGAGCAGCTTTCTCGACTTTCTTTTTTACAGTTGGATGAAACGTTACGGTTGTTCACAGGAGACGCAGGAGAGGGCGGCTTGGTCTTCTGCAACCAGTTGTCCAGCTGCCAGCTCATGTTGGTCGCAGGTGGTTCAGGCTGAAGGGGTGACGGAGAACAGAATTAAGATGCTGTTCAACCATAAGGAATAAACTTTTTACCTAATTTGTGACAAATGTGTGACAGAGTCCTAAAATTAGCGCTAGAGCTTCGTATAGAGTTACGGTGAAATTATTACGTCAGGAGAGGCGGGTCGCGGGCGCTCATTGGCTTCGCTGTCCGTCGAGCTGCTTTCACTCTCGCTGTCAGAACCCGAGCTGCTCTCGGAGCAGCTGCGGCTGCTGGGGTCATCCCTGGATGGCTCGGCTGCTTCGCTGTTATGGGACACAAGAATGTGGACGTGTGGAAAATGTCTATACATAAATAAACTTATTTCTAATATTAAACCCAAACTTTTATTTACCTTGCTGGTACGTTTCTTGAGGGATTCTTGGCATCTTGTTCTCCGTCGCTGTCTTCACTGCTGCTTACATTCAAATCTTCCTTTAGCATACTGAAATCAAATATTTAAACTTAATTACTTTTCACTACTTTATGTGCAGACAGTTTCAGTCTGCTGGACCTTCTGTAGGCTTTTTGTTTTGATACTTAAGAGTAGGCTTGAGTAGCTTTAGATACGTTTTTTTTTAATCAATCAATCAAAGCTTTATTTATTAAGTGCCTTCCGCAACCCTGTCAGGAAGCCCAAAGCGCTGAACATGGTTCAGTTGAAGGTAAATATATTGAATAAATCAAAAATAAAAGCAATTAAAATTACAAAATACAAATTACAAAATAGGTGAAAACATTCTGGTACAGGACAAATGTGTAAAACAATGGATAGAGTGTAGAGCCATGCACTGAAGCCCTAGGCCCTCGGGTCGGCCCTCGGGCCGGGCCTCGGGCCGGGCTTCGGGCCAACGACTGTGTAATTACCTCAGACACGGGCCGGGCGCCTTTATTTTTAATCGAATTCATTTAAAAAATTGAAACACTTAAACCAGGGGTCGGCAACCTGTTCCCATCAAAGAGCCATTATTACCCATTTCCCACAGTAAAGAAAACACTGGGAGCCACACCAGTACTCTAAATGAAGCCTGGTTTTTGGTACCGATATCTATTTGTTTAAGAGAAAAAGGTACTTGAATATTTGTTTATTAAACTAAATAAATAACGGTGGATAGCAGAAACTCTGCAGAAGATGATTTATTCAACTATCTGAACAAACATTTAAACTGGTGCTCTTCTCCTTTTAGATAAGTGGGTTGAGTAGACCATCCAATCTGCCTAATAAAGGTTAAACCTGAGATATCGCAAACTTAATACCCACCAGTGACGTTGTTATTGCATCCTTAATTATAATTTAAACTTGTAACACAAATAGTTGTTTATATCTTTAATTCCAATTATGACGTGTAAGGACACCAACTGGACTAGAATCAAACACAGAGGTGTAGATGGCGATTAAACGTTAAAATGCACGCATCAGCTCACAAACAAAAGCCATGAATGACGCGGCAGCACTTTGTTAAATTGCTGATATTTAAATGTAGTTTAGTAACACAAATCTCATCACAGATGTCACATTTAGCTCTGTCGCTGTTTTCTTTCACAAAATGCAGCAAATTCTTTTACCGGCGTTTTCTTAGTCAGCAAACTGGGAGAAGTGTTGTAAACAAGCTACAGTCTGTGAGCGAGAGATCAGCCAGCGTCCTCCAACCCCATGAGGCAGAGCAGCAGGAGGAACGGAGCTGTACAGGACTTTTTTGGGGGATTGTATTGAAATTTTGCACCGAATAAGATATATATTTAAGGTGCCAGTGCCTATTGAATATTTCTGGTTGGTACTAAAGTGGTACAGAGTTTTGGTACCCATCCCAACTCAAGAGTTTATGCAAATCAATAAAAGAAAACATACCCACGACAAGGGCGAAAAGATTTAGCTCTTACGTGGGGTGGTCGCTGCTGTCCTTCGGCTGGTGGCTGCTGGAGCTTTTAGATGAACTGACTCGCTCTGAGATACAGGTGAAAAATAATGCATGCATACATTAATAAATAGCATTTATAAAAACCATGAACAATTAGCCAAATTTAACACTTAGTTATGTGCAGAATGGATCTGGTTTATGATACTCACTGTGCACACTTGGATGTGTATCCTGAGATAGTAACAAAAAAATCTCAATTAATTTCATGAAAGTCATTTTATTCCTCCACTACTATAAAATATATCCGTAAAATATAATAAATGAGCTAATTTCCCTTTAAATCACGTTGCTTTTTAATCCAATGACTGTGATTTTAGGAAACCAAAGATCAAATTAGTCATAAATGCCTTTTTTTCAGTTGCGTGAATGTAACAAATATTTATTAGCCAAATGAATCCAGAACAAAACAATCACTTAAGTCAGTTAAAACCACGGCAGCGATGCTGACCTTGGTGGGGAATGGAAACTTGGAGGGCTCCGTTTTACAGGGAGTGTGGATGGCTGTTAGCGGAGGGGGCCACGACTGAGTCATTTCCTGAATGAAAAAAAAGAAAACACACACACACACACACACGAGAGAGAGAAGAGGAAAAATGTAGTGGATGGGATGTGAGTAAAGTGAACTGCTCCTTTGCTTATTTCAGTGGTTTTTCCTTTTATTCCAAAAGCTGATCACAGAAACAAAAAGAAAGAAGCATACCTTCAGAATTTCATCGACACAGTTGGCATCGCTCGGCCCCTAAACACACAAACACCATGTTCAGCAGACATGTTCATAACTATGCTCTCATTACAACAGGTGAGAGGTGGCTTCCATTTAGAGTCCCGTGAGTCACCCTGAAGGTATTTTATGAGCCACAGGAGTTCCTGCAGCCCTTCGGTAGCGTGTTAAGGTTTCCTATTGGGCATCACTAAGAATGCAGAGTTTGTTTAACACAATAGTGAAAGAAAGAAAATGATCTTTTATATAGCGCCTATCAAGATAGAAATCGCGACGCGCTTCACAAGAACAAAAAGTTCAAAATATAAAAACTATTTAAAAAAAGTTGAAAAATATGATTAAAAGGAGAAAAAACTTGTGATTAGTGCAAGAAAAGGGAAATTAGTGGAGTATAGTGTGTAAGTAATAGATTACAGATGAGATTCCATGTAGCTCTCATATTCAACTATTGGCCAGTCTAACCAGAACTAGCATAACGCGATCATGTCCTAACTAGGACTCACCTCTACGGGCTGTGAGGGGATCTTGAGTTTGGTTAGCGAAGCCTTGCCGTTGGGCTTCATCTCTCCCATGGTGCTGCTGTGTGACTGTCCGCTGTAGTTTTCCGCCTGGGAACTTTTGGGCTCTGCAGTTTCTTGGCCATCCATAGGCCGAACGTAAGCTGTGGGCTTCTGCAGCATGGAGCTGGGCTTGGACATGAGTGACGGAGGAAAGGTCTGACTCGAGTGTCCACTGGGAAAGGAGGTGTGAACCCGTGAGGGCGAGTCCCAGTTGGCCTCCCGGTCTCTTGGAGACTTGGAACGATAGCGCTCCTTGCTGTGATGCTGCTCGGATGACAAGGAGCTCCGCGAGTGGCTGCCGGAGGAGCTCAGGGAACCCTTGGCTGGACTGGATGTATGGGACTTTGAGTGGTCTGATCCTGCACCGTGCTTGCTCGACTTCTTTTCTCGCACTTCCCCTCTTTGGCTACTGTTGCTGCTACTGCCGCCGTTGCTCCTCTGGCTACTGTGTCCGCCCGAGAGTCCAGAGCGTTTTTGGGATTGTGATGATGATCCGCCCGCTGCCGGGCCAACAGGAGTCCACTTACTGCTCTGGCTTCCACCAACGCCACGCTGGTCCCCGCCAAACAGAGGAGGGACGGATTTGTCCTCAGTGGAAGACGAGCTGTTCGAAGGTTTATTACCGGGCTTTGGAAGCGTGTCACCGATCGACTCTTTCATCTCGTCGTAATTACCCAGCATGCTCTGAATACGGTTGGACAGTTTATCTTCTTTGCTGACCTGAAGAGAAGCAAAGATGTAATTACGTCGGATTTATCATCGTTTACAGAATTGGGGGTAAAAAAAAAAGGGTCAGAAAATACTCATCAGTAGCCCGTGAGTGTTGTTTACACAGTTTAAACCCTTGTGAATTAGAATAATGGTTCCAGCACGCAGGTTAATCAATCACTTTGACCACATGTTGTAGCCCACACGGTCTCCAGTTTCACACCTCAGTTTTGTTTGACAGATTCACACCGGGGGTGGGGAAACACAAGCCGTTATCTGCAGCAGGAAATGTAACTGGCTCGGTCATAACACGCTCCCCACCACCTCCTGTTAGCGTGGCCTGGCTCTCATTTGTGCAGCTAGAGAAGAGTAATACCAGCCATTTTTCTGTCAAGCTGCTGGTTTCAGTTTGTGGCGTCAACAGGAACGGTGCTCTCATTACGAACATGTTGGAATGCCGTCAGAACAGAAGATGTTCTCAATCAACTCACTCAGCTTAGGATTCATCTACTGCTACTTCCAAGTAAAATTGTTAATAAAAAGTATGAAAAAAAAAGACTGTAAATAAAGTTTTATTTTTGTTAGACAAAACCTCTTTTTGCTGTGTTTGTAAATTAATATTGGATGTGGTCCACTGCGCTCATCCTACTGCACTTCTGTAACAAACCACACGCTGACATATAAAAGCTCATTCAATTTGCCTTCTAGGTGCATAATAGTGATTATTCTGTCGTTGCTGTGGCAGTGGATCTCGGCCAGTCAGGAACGAACCTTTCCATTATTTCTTTAAACATTACACTTTCAAAACATTCAGCTACAAAGTCCAAAAACATATTTTTTTCCACTTAATTTGCTTAATTTTTGTGTTTTTAAGACAAAATCTGCATGAAAAATGCATCAATCAATTTACTTTTATGTATATAGTTATATTGAAGATGACCACGAAGCGTGCAGATGCACTGTGCACTATAAAATCGTTACCGCTGTGCTGGTCTACAGTTGGGAGGCCACAGCTGCAGCTGTGTGCACACATGCTCTTTAATGTAGAACACTGTAAAACTTCCACTTAGTGGAGCGTGACAGTCACAAAGTCAAACTAAAGCTTACGTAAGACTCGGCACAAGCAGGAGCAGAGATAAAGTAAGTACAGAAAGTCGTGACTTTAACCGCTTTAGGGTCACACAGAATGCTATAAACAACAAATCAACTAAAAAAGCTGCTTTTTCAACAGGTAACGGTCAAAGACTTTACCCGTCTTTAACGTCTGTTTTTATCCCTCGCTTTGTTGTAGTCCAAAACACAAACACCCATCACTCACCTCTGGTGGCCTTTCAATTCCCAACCTGTCAGGACACATTCCTCAGTGCGTCTTTGATGGCTAGTCCTGGCTAAAGGAGAGGAGCCACTTACATCTGCTCAAATCTGGTTAGTGGCAAAGATTAGACCAGTTCAGAGAGCCTAAATCCTCTTTACAATTACATTGGTTGGTAGGAGCTGACTGGCCTATATCTGCATCTGTGAGCACAGGCGGAAGACGTAGAGGAGGAAGTGGAGTGAAGACACAGCGTTTTGTTTGTTTACGTCTAACAGCTGTGCTACAAAACAAGCACTGGGTGTGCTAATAGCCTGTTTTGCATTAGTGTAAAAGTTTGTCAACTTCTTATTATGGATTTAAATCAGAACCAAAGAAAAAGTATTTAGTATCAATATCCAGTAACCACATTCGGCTCTCGGCTGCCTCGCTGATCAAAACAAGATATTAAAGCTGCACACGTGAAGCTTTTCGTTTTCTGCCAATGATGCAAATTCCTCCAAACGGCTCGACATGGCAACAGAGAGAGTTATGTTAAACAAACTTACTACTTTATAGGGTTCAGGGAAAAGAGGGGAATTGGCTGGAAAGGCTTCTCCTCCGCCTTGCTGGATTTCTTGATTTCTCCTTTCTCGTTCTTTCATTCGGAGCACATTCCGGTCCTCACAATTCATGTTGCTGTTAACACAAACAGGGGAAAAAGGCTCAACTTAAAACAGACAGTAAAAAGGCTAGGTTTATGGAAGCTGAACAAGCTGGGTGCTTATTAAAGTGACAAAATCAAAGAAGATCCTGTGTCTATGGGAAGTCAGACACTGTCTATCTGAAATCTGTTGTCAGGAAATCTCTGATCAGTACTTTGCTAACATTTTTCTGTACTTTACAAAAAGAAAAGAAAATTTAGCAAATTCTGTTAGAGATGACCTTTGTAGCGTCTAATGAGCGTAGGCTTGTTCAGACACAAAGCAGTCATTTATTTCTACTGCAAATGCTTCTTATACAGATTTTCTGTGCAAATTAGCATGCAATGAATTTTGCTTTCTAAAGATTAGGAATGTAAGAAAATACTGAAATGCTGAAATATTACAATGTTTAATAATGAATCAATATTTAAAAACAGTGTATCCATTTGTTTATTGGGTACTTACATGCAAACATTCATATATTAGTGATGGACCGATATGAAATTTTTTGGGCAGATACTGATATCGAGATCACTGTTATGGCCGATAACAGATATTTGCCAATACCGATATACTGACATTAATGCTTCTAAAATCAGCAGATTTTGTATAGAATGAAATTTATTAAAGCTGAATTATGTACATACAACACACACACTTACGGTTCTGAGATGATGTCATTCACTGTTCACATGACTAAACAGATGCTGTGCTACGAACTGGATGGGGTCCCATGACTTTGTTTAGTCATGGGACTCTACCCCATCTGGTCTGTAAAGCCTGATTCTTGCTTCTCCGTCAGCTCCGCAAGGGACAGACACGCACGGATTGACGGAAGCGTTTTGCTCTCATACTTCTCCGTCTCCTGGGGAGTGTAGCAAAGCAATTCCCCAGCAGGACAACAGAGGGCGTAGCGCTGTTCTGTGGTATCCTGGCATGTATCCGGTCCAAGATAGTGTGTTTATATTGTGTTTTTGTATATAAGAGACTTTTTAACAAACAAATTTGTTTCTCATACTCCACCTTTTCATGCGCTTGCCACCTCTAAACCCACGTTTCCTGTCCTTTCCGTCCACAAATAAAACGCTTGCTGCGCATCTTTTCACTCCTCCAGTCACGGGGGAATTAAACGTTCATGTTTTTAGAGTTTTTTCGCGAGGTATTCTTCAAGCTGCTTCGTGTCGGCCGCTAGTTATCCTCTGCTCTCTTTATGTTTTTGAGGGCGCAATGGCGGCGGTGAAGACAACAGCGCCGTCCTGACCAATCACAAGCTTGTGTTGTCCGTCTCGACGGATGGATGTTTGGAAAAGAGAGCTCGACTCCATCCGTCCTTGCGGAGCTCTCCAGCAGGTCCGCAAGGACGGATAATGGCGTTGCGTGTCTCCGCACGGACGCAGGCGGAGAAGCATGAATCAGGCTTTAGAAGGGAAAGACGATGAGCAAATGGTGAATGATTCAAACATTGTAGCTAGAGGCTGGCCGGTATATCGGGCCGATATATTCAATCTTTATGTCTTATTTAATTTATATTGCACACAGTGAGAGTTCAGTTGTCTTTCACAATCAATGTGCTGCTAAAACATATATATCTGCCTTAAAAATCAGCTTTAGATATCGGCCATCGGCGAACAAATTCTTTAAAAATCTATATCGGCACTGGCCTAAAAAAAAAACATATCGGTCGGCTTCCTAGTTGTAGCAGTGGGTGGGGGTGTTCTGACTATCCGTGCTTCCTCGTCGAATTTTCCTACCGCAGCGTGTTTCGACAGCTGATTCCTATGTACAGGTTTACTGAAAATTGGTAGCTACTGTTAATTTATTTTATGAAAAAAAAAGTGGATAGTGTAAGAAGCAGTTTAGTCATTTCGTAAAAATTAACCCCTTAGTTGCTAAAAACATTTGAATATTCTCAGAACAATAACGCTGTGACGCAATAATCAGCCTGCGCATGCGCATTTCCCCAAAGTAGCACCTTTCGACGGGGAGCACGGATAGTCGGAACGGGGCAGCAGGGAGTGGCCGGCAGAAACAAACCAAAATGTTGCCATGTTGAAGGATTTTTGTGGGAACAAGCTTCTCACTGGCCAAATCTACCACCGCTACTGCTCCCTCTACATGCCGCTGAAAGTGTAGTTATTGTCCTATTTATCTTTATTGAGGCGAACTGCTCGATATATTGTGATATTTATTCGAGGCAACTATGCCCTGCCCTGATATATCGTATCAACAGATTCCGACCAATCCTACTCCTAATAAGGATATGTATTCCTAAAATTCACATATTTCCTTCTCTATTTAATTCACTAATAAAATAAGGGTATTTTTGCTCTTTACTGTGGTCTTAAAATTTGAATGCTAAACAACAAGAACAGGAAACTTTATGGAGAGCCTTTACAAAAGGGTGCAAAATAAACCAATAGTGGATCAGGTCAACATCACATGGATAAACACGCCTCCATTCACTTGTTTTTTTCCATCTACAAACACAAAAACCAAAGGCAGGGCAAAGTCTGTGGGGATAAAAACACCGAAACTGAACTTGCCTCTATTTGCGTTGCTGATTAAAAAAAGGTTAATGTGTTTAAAGATTTGCAACATTTCACAAATATTGATGTCCACTAAAATATAAAATAAGCTGCAGTTTTCAAAAAAGAAACTAGCACATTTTTACTGTTGCTGTTAAAACAGCTTTTACTTCTGCTGGTGACAACAATAATTATAAGGATGTTTACTCCTGTACTCCTATATAATAAACACATCACTTTAAATTCTCAACAAGCATGACCAACATGGGAACAAGATTTTAAAAGCAGACACAATAATTCATAAGACAATATTTACATATAACCAAAAACGGGTGCAGCTCCAATTTAGTAAACAAAGCAACTTTTCATGTCTAACACTTGCAAGGGAGTCGAAAATGTCATTTCTCAACTGCTCTTCTTAAAAAACCTCAGTTTTACATCCTTAATACAAGCCAGATATGAGTCAGTACCCAGAACAGAGAACGGGATTTACACAAATGAATGTAAGTCATAACTATTATTAATTATAATTTTGTTTGTGGCCATTAAACATCTTTTAGCATACAAACCCAGCTGAGAACTAAAAACCAAGTACATAACAAAACACTTTTCAAGATGACAAACTTACAGCTGACCTGACCACTGATTACCTCCTGCAGACATCTAATGTCTACAAGGATGATTTACTAGAGCCACGTTCCAGTAGATTCTGCTTAATGATAGTCATTTTCTCTAATTTACTACACAGCTGACAGGCACAAGCTTTCATTTGAGGGTCTTTCAAGCTATAAATGTTGTCTGTGGTTTAAGAAAAGGCACTGGAAATAAGACGGGTCGGACAAGTAATCAGGCTACACCGTGTACCTGTATTTACTCCGTAGTAGCAGCGGTACATTAGGATGTAAATAGGCCTGTTGAAGTTGGCAGGGAGTGGGACAGCATGGCTGAATGAACTGCACAATGTTAATCAAATGACCCAGCAGCAGGACCCTTTGTAAACACAGCTCACGTCAACAAACCAACATGATGTGTTGATTTTCATGAGTTGAGTTACCCCCAAATTCCACTACCTCCGCTCCGCTCCGACACAAACGCCGGAGCAAAATCGGTCCCGTTGTAGTCAATCAGAGCAATTCCACTATTGCGGCCGTGCTCCGGCAGTGCGGCGCCATGCGCCGCCCTCTGTTCCGGCGTCCGGCAAAAATAGAATCGATCCTATTTTTGCCGGACGCCGGAGCACCTCTGCAGTCAATGGACAGAAATCACAACCGCCCAACAGGAAAAGGAGCAAGCACAACTTCCGTTTTTCACAATAAATCGATAAACAAAAGGCGTTTTTTGTTTCATATGCACAGGTTTAACAACTTTTAATAACTATCAATGACGGCTGAAGTTTAAATGCACAAAAGTAAGCCATAAATACAGTTTCTACTATCAAAGTAGTCTCACTTTGTTGATCCAAACACTGCTGATCTCTCAATTCATGCCGATGCTTCTCCCACACAACGGGTGTTTGGATCTAACTTCCGCGTTTATTGCTCGGACTGTATCGCAAGATCTCGAAAATCCCGCGCATGCTTGTTTGCCCACCTCAGGTCTCCGCACCGGAGCAGAGCCGTTGTAGAGCGTGTACCAGTAAAAATTGAGTTCGGAAGCGAGCGGCTGCGGAAGGCGGGGGCGGACCGGAGCGGAGGTAGTGGAATTTGGGGGTTAGCCTGGCAAGCCAGACTAAATAAATGTATTATTTAGTCTGGCAACGCTCCATTGACTACGTTTACATGCAGCCAATATCCGGGTTATGGTCGGGATTCGGGTTTCTGAGTTGATCAGAATAACCCGTTTACAAGCATATATAGAAAGAGTTACCCCTAACTTGCATAACCCGATATAAATGCGGACGTTGGGGTAGCGTCAGGACGTATGGACTACGTCCAGACGCATTTCCGGTTCTTCTTGTTCCAGTATCCGTGAAAACAACATGTTTCCCAGTTCGGAAGAGATAGCGACCGCGTTTGTTTGCGCTTTAGTTTCCTCGTCACTCCAAAAGTGTGGTGCTGTGCCGCAACTCGCCATTTTGCTCCCAACTTGTTGTTTACTTCCGGTGTTCTGGCACATACGAGACGTCTCGCTACTCAAAAGACCAAGATTCCTTGCGAACAGAGCATGCGCAGAACACACGCTTTGATGGGGATATCCCGATATGCGTTTACACGACCAAACATTCTGGTTAGAAAAGGGTTACCCCAGGTGTAGTAACCGGGTTTTTAAAAACCCGGTTATGAGCATATCCAGGTTTTTGGCGGTGTTTACATGGACCTGCGGAACTGGGTTATTGTGAATATTCGGGTTTCAAAAGGGTTACTGGCTGCATGTAAACGCAGTGATTGATGGCTCTCGGTTGTGGGGCGGGTTCTACCGTTGTCTTTCAAATGATCTCCGCATTCCACTGGACAATGAATGTGACGTACTCTTGTTTCACTCTGTTGCATCATCCCACCCACCAGGCATATAGAGTGCCCTGATTGGCCCACAAAGCGGATAAAGCTCTGTGATTTGTTCACTAAGCAGATAGAGCACTATGATTGGCCCACCATTATGGACCAATCACAGCTCGTTATGTGTTTGAAACCCCTCTAGAGAGCTGTGATTGGCCAGCCAGAGTCCTGGAAGGAGCTGCGGAGGTTCCAATGGAGCGTGCCTAGACTTTGCAAAGCAAGAATTTGGTCTAGTTCACTAGGCTAGAGTTGAGTAGGAGTGAGACTGTCACTGTAGTGAAGTTCTAGAGGAAATCCTCATGCAAACCTTATCTGTCTCTGGTTTCAACCATCTAGCACAGAAACTTGCTGGTAGACAAGTTTGTCAGTCTGGTTTGTATTTGTCTTTTACAACAAGCAGAAATAATCAAAACAGTATCTTCATCTTGTTTCTCACTCTTTAAAGACTATAGCCCTTTTTACAAGACACACCGTGCCAGCAAATCAACGTAATATTACAGCAATGATGAGTCTTTTAAACGCGCAATGCCAGCATGGTGATGCGTGAATTTTGCGGCATTCGTTCCTCCCAACTTGGTAGTAATATTGCAGTAATTGTCTTTCTTAAAACGGCAATTGCACCTTGGCGCAACACAGGGAGGTGTCATGGGGAGTTACTGCCAAGCTCCAGCTGGCAACTTAATTGAAAATTAAAGTGAAAACAGGCCACAAGTTTTGCTTTTTGAACAAAATCAGTTGAGATGGCAAACTGGAGCAAAGCAGAGCTCCAGGAGCTTATTTCTGTTAAAGCTGGAGCTTAGATCACCAGAGACTGCATGGGGACTGTAGAGGACACACACCTTTAGGGGTGTCTTGTCAAAAAATTCCTGATGAGCATGGCTTTGACTGCAATAAAAAGGCAAGTTATGTCCAAGATAAAGGCAGAGGTGCGTGCGGATCATTTAGCTTCCTTGCGTTGTCTGCGTGTGTGTGTTGGGGGGGGGGGTAGCCGTGGCACTGGAATTCCAGATGAACCGATGTAAGGGAAACACTTTACTAGATTATTATATGGTTACATAGCCTGAGTGGGAGGGGGTTTCTAGTGTAATATGTCCAGCCCTCTTTGATGGATCTCCGGTCTAAGTCCCAGTGGCTTCTTTTTCTCTTAAACTTACAGTCCGGAGAACTCCTGACTGTCACCGACTGCAAGAAGTCCATCAGAAGCCCGGAGGCGCCATGGCTGTTATGCAGTTGCATTACATTAGCAATTATGACAGACAAGGTACCAACAGTGGGTTGAAAAGGTAAGCTAATGTATGTTTTATGGCTGTTTGATTTGTCTGTTGCATCCAGAGTTATACCATCAGATTCTGTGACTCTAAGAAAGATGGTTTAATGTTGTGATTGTTATTTTTCAAATTGTTTGAACAGCTTCTTCCAGGAACATCGACTCCACCTTAAAAAGAAGTATGTGTAAACATGTCCTACTGACTACTATCATCGCATAGATGGTGACTTATTTGTGATTCCCACAAACATACAGGATGTCATGTTAACTTACTGTAAGAGTTATTACTTCAGGTTAAGTGGAAGGCTGCCAGTGCCTAGTTAAAAACCCACCAAGCCCAAAATATCTAAATGTACTTGTATTCTTCAATAAAAGGAGTACAAGAACTTCAAAACAATATTAATCCTGCCTTGAGAATTCCAGACTAAGCTACTGATAACTTCCACATTACATAATTTGTGTTTAAAGTTAAAAGACAGTCAGATCAAATTAGCTTTGATTTGCATTCTTGACCAAGCCCATGTGCTAGGAAAAAGTCCTTCTAATCTAAGGAAGAACATCTATAATCTTACAAAAGATCCACCAAACACAAATGATTTCTGTGTGAGTTTAAACAGGATTATCAGTGGGTTTGCTAGTGATTCAATAGTGCGCCAAACTGAAAAAGGTCAAAATCTTCACTTCAAAGCTGAGAAGCCATCTCAGTTTGCACCTAAATTAATCGGCTTGTCTTTTTTCTTCCTAACTCTCAACATAACAACCGGGCCTTGTGAGAGATACTAGCAAATAAGAGCTGATGGTTATCTGATCACCATGAATTCAGCGTTGGGCCTTCATGACACAATCATTATGAAATGTAATCAAAGGAAACAAGACCAGAAACAAAACCCTCAGTAAAAACTGAGTGTTCTATTCCTGACATAAAGCAAAATGTAAAATAAACCAACTATTTGAGCATTTCTTACCCTGACTGAGAGGCCATGGCCCCAACCACTGAAACATTGGAAGGAGGGGGGGAGTTTCAAAAGCTCTCCCAGGGATTCACAAGTATCCTTGTCATTACTTGTTTGGTTAAATGTGTCCATCAACCCCCTCTTGTGAAGGACACGCAATCCTTTTTGTTTTAGCTAGCCTATGTGTAATTAGGCATCCAGCTGAATGAGTCTAACTAGATTCCTTTACCCAACTCAAAGGTATAGTGCATTTCCTTGGAATGGAGACAAATCTGACTTAGGGAGGGGAGGCGACTGCCTGTTCTTGGGAGATACCATGTCAGCAAACAGCGGGGGTGGTCACACTCAGTAAAGTCTAGAGGCAGAGGCAGCTTTTGTTTCTGTTTTGTTGCTCTGAGGTTAAAGAGTGAATGGAGAACAAGCCAGCTGCAACAGGCTGGGGGGTGGGAATGTACGTGGATGTCAAAACTGAACATAAGAGAGATAAACCTCCATTAAAAACAGTCATTCCTGTTCTAATCGTCAACTTACAAGGACATTTTATTCTCTGTTAATCAATTATATGAATCATCAGAAGAAAGGATGGAAAAAATATTTATCAAAGGTAATACATGATTAAGTCTAGATGAGTTTATGCCTCTGATAAGAGATTTTACAGAAGTACCAGAACTTTCAAGTTAAAGAGAGAAAAGAAAACAATAATAAAAATATAATTAAGTATACAATGATGAATTAAAACAGCTCAAATTAAAGAGTTTGCTGAAAAGAGTAAAGAGGAATCCCTGAGAGGGGATCAAACCTCACCTCTCTCTGCTAATGGCCCTGTCCGCCTCCTCCCATAAAAGGAGATGTTATTTTACACCACAGGCCCTCTCCTCTACGTGACGTCTCTTCCCTCAGTGACGCCTGGCCAACCGGAGCTCGTTTTTTCGTCAACAATGTCCCTCCCTCCCCTGAACCGCCCCAAGCAGAAGGCAGAGCACCAGCGGAGCCTCTTAAAGAAACCGTACACAAGTTGTCTGCCTGCCGTTTGTAACAAACATGACACATTTTCATCAGCAACACATGATGATGACACATGCTGACAAATGTGGCATCATCCCATGTTGCAAGGATGTTTAAATGGTACAAAGACTGGTTAAACAAAGCCTCAGTAAACATTTCCACACGTTTATCTCAAGATTTCCTTGGCAAATTCTTCTTCTTTTTTAAGTTTTGAATAAACATGTTGTTTTAAAGTCACTGAGGATAATCAAATTTTCTTATTGTCTTCATGCAAATTATGAGTGACCAGTACAAACTCAGTTCCATTTAGCTGGTTTTGACTTCCTACCAGGTACTTCTTGTACCAATTTTCTCAAATAAATAAGTTTAAGCAAATACATTTCTATTCTGATAAAAAAGAAGTTGTTTTGAAGCCAGAAATTACTGAACATTTAGTATTATTGGCTGACATAATCCATTATGTTTTACAAAATCACAGCATGCTTTGACTAAGTCACAATGACTTACTAGTATCAATATTAACACCTATATATTGTTGCATGAAAGGGCTGTCTCTGGGAAGTATACTGTTCAAACTTAAGATGGATCATTACAGATAAGTTTTGGTTATTTTAAGTGTTTCTGTGTGTTCGGGGCAGACTTCTGATTTCTATTCAGAGAAAAAGGATTCATGCCCTGATTGAACGTTTGGAACTCTGATGAACCCAATCGGTTAGTTAGATTACAGGCTTGTCTTGAAGACATAAAAAATTGGATGACTCAAAACGTTTTGCTTTTAAATCAAGACAAGATGGAAGTTCTCATCTTTGGACCTGAAATTCAGAAAAGGAAATTGCTTAGTCAATCACCTGACCTGAATGGCATTAAATTAATCTCTGAGAACAAAGTAAGGAACCTTGGTGTTATCTTCGACCAGGACATGTCATTCAAATCCCACATTAAACAGTTTTGTAGGATTTCCTTTTTCCACCTTCGGAATATTGCTAAGATTAGAAGCATCCTTTCCAGGAGTGATGCTGAAAAACTAGTTCATGCATTTATTACATCAAGACTGGATTACTGTAATTCATTACTCTCAGGAAGTCCACAGAATATAGTTAAAAGTCTTCAACTTGTCCAAAATGCTGCAGCTAGAGTTCTGAATAGAATTAAAAAGAGAGATCATATCTCTCCTGTCTTAGCTTCCCTAAATTGGCTGCCTGTTAAATTCAGAATAGATTTTAAGATCCTCCTTCTCACATATAAAGCTCTTAATAATCAAGCTCCATCATACATCAGTGACCTGATTCTCCCATATGTTCCTAACCGAGCACTTCGCTCTCAGACTGCAGGTTTACTGGTGGTTCCCAGAAAATATAAAAATAGGATGGGAGGCAGATCTTTTAGCCATCAGGCTCCTTTCCCGTGGAACCAGCTCCCAGCTTTAGTCTATGAGGCAGACACCTTGTCTACTTTTAAGACTAGGCTTAAAACATTTTTATTTGATAGGGCCTATGGTTAAAATCTGATGTTAGCCTAGATCTGGACAAGCGGGGGAGTAGAGGAAGGTGGAGTGTAGTCGGTAAAGATGTCTCTCCCTTGCCCTGCCTCCAACATGTCTCCAACGTCAAGAGAGGTTATCCTCTTCCCCTTAAGCGTTCATCATGGTAATGTCTTGTCTCCAGGGTTAGGGTTGTTGTCTACATTCTGGAAGAGTGTCATCACGAACCTCAGAGTGAAGGTGGATGACGATCTCTTCTTTGAAAAGCAGGTTAGTGTGACTCTTACCTTATATTTTTATCATCTGCGTCGTATTTGAACAATTAGAGCTATGTTGTCACATGCCCACTTCAAAACGGTCATACAGGCATTCGTCAGTACACGATTATTGTGATTCCCTGCTTGTCGGGGCGAGTCATCAACCATTGCCAGACTACAGTTAGTTCAAAACTCTGCTTCCAGGTTGTTAACTAGTACAAATAGGAAGGACCACATCACCCAGTGTTGGCAATGCTACACTGGATTCCAGTGAGATACAGGATAGAGTTCAAGATCCTTGTTTTCATGGCATTACACAGAGGGGCACTTTCATACCTGTTTGAGCTGACTCCCTTGTCAATTAAACAGAAAGCAAAGTCGAGCAAGCCTAGCTATAGTATCTAGCATACTAAATTATTATACGGTTACCTAGTCTCAGTAGAAGTAGTAGAAGGGGGTACCAATGTAAAACAGAGTCCTCTCTGCTGGATCTCAGATTTAGGTCCCAGTGGCTTCTCTAATTTGAGATTTCAGCAGACAGAATCCATGGAACTCCTGAATGGCATCAGACGGTGACAAGTTCTAAAGCTCAAAGGCTCCGCGGCTTTACATAGGTGCAACACTTTAGGATTTATGGCAGAAACGGTACAAACAATGGGACAAAAAGGTGAAAAAAAGTTATGTTTTAAAGGTTGTTTGACAATATCAGTTGGGTCTGGTGTTAAACCATTTCCTGCGACCATCAGCTTCTGAGACTGTAGGAGGGGGCCTGATGAAAGGGGGTTGGACCCTATAATTGTTAATTTCCAAAAATGTAGCTTGCTGGAACAGCTTTTTTGCAGGAATACCAACCCTACCAACTCTACCTGTAATTTATAAACCTGTTCACAGTCTTCAATTTGACATAAGTTTTTTCAGCAGAAATGTTAAGAAGCTCTTGCTTAACATGACCTCTGGATGCATGAAATGCTCTACATTTTGCTGCTGCTGCTATTAAAAAACAAACAAACAAAAAACAGTACTTCAAGTAAATAAAAGTTATTAAGTATCAAATTTATGAAATACTTCCACTTTAACATGCTGGTTAAGCTATTAATAAAACATTTTAGTTAAGTTATATTTTTTATATATAAATTTTCATTATGAGTGGTTTAGTATGTCTCACATAAACAGTTAAACACAGCAACTACTCTGGCTAGATGGGCAGTTGGTACCGCCACTGATGCTTTGTGAAACAAACCTGCTGACAGCAGGAATTCCACAGGGAGCGTCCATTCGACTGATGTCAACCTCCCTCTATAAACATCTGTTTGGGCAGGACTCCTGAGGACTGCCGCCATAACCACAGGCAGCCAAGACGTCTTTCAGATGTGGGCTGCAATATTTTAATGCTGATACTTTTAGCTAGAACTTAATCTAATTTTCATCAAAAAGCTCCAGCATTTAAAAAGAAACCTGCATTAAATCAGAGTCTATTCTGAAATCAACAGAGGAGAACAAGAGATTTTTCATCCGCCTTTCATAAAAAGTGCTGACATTTCAAAGGAAACGATTAAAACCACCTTTGTTTAGCTCTTGCTTTAAGAATAAAGCGTTAAATACCTCTTAGTGCCATCTGAGTTGATAAAAAATATTCTGTAAACTTCTGTCAGACGGGTTTAAACCACTGGGATAAACTAAGTCACCCAATCAGCAGACAGCCAGTCTGAAATAGCGAAGGGAACCTTTAGCATTTACCAAACTAGACCCGAGCTGCCAGTGTTGTGCATTAACAAACTAATTAATTATATTGATTCTGGAGCTTCTTCTGTCTGACATTCAGCAAATCGGTTTACTGAGAGGTGAGGGGAACTCTCCAACAAAACAGAATGCCAAAACAAAACAATATCCCTCAAAAAACCTTCTAACATTTGTACAGATAGTGTCAGTAGCCTTTTAAAATTACTCTAAACTGTTTACAAGGTTAGGTACAAGGGATTTTAGACTAGTTTCACCTCAAGATTAACCTAACAACGTTCTAACCACAAAGATCTGACACAAACTGTTCGGGCTACTTTTTCTGTCACTTTGCTTAATTATCTTAGGCTTAGCGTCATTTGAGCTGATCCCTGTGCGCTCAAAATGTGTTAAAAAGCTTCAATTTTTTTAAACAATCCCTTCTCTGCCACCAAAGAATAAGCTTTTAATTAATAATGCTAGCTTTGCTTGTGAATTTTAATGTAAATGACTATTAATCTTCTGATGTAGCATGAATTTCACTTACTCTTAGCTTGATTGGTACAGCAGCTTTGTGGACAAAAGGTTGTTTGCACTAGGGCTGCAACGATTCGTCGACAAACATCGACAATAGAAATAGTCGACAATGAATTTCATTGTCGACGTTGTCGCCAGTAGGGCTGGGGGTAAACGATTATTTTTAAAACGATTATTCTGACGATTATTTTATCGAATAGTCGACTATTCTAATGACTATTTAGAAAATTAATCTAATGATTATTTTTCTATTGCACAATTAACAAAAACCAGAAAATCCCAAATAAATTCCTCAAAAAAATTGATAAATTCTTACTGTAAGAGAATAAACACTACAGGCCTTCCATTTTGTATAACACTGCGTTTATTGTGTTGGTTGGTTATGTTCTGGTGACGTGTAGAACTTGGGAGAGCAGGCTGCTGCCTGAGAGGTGGTAGAAGATGGAGTGTCTCCATGCTGCTTTGTTTTGGTCACTTATGTGCGTGAGGCGAGTGGTGTTACGGGTTAAACCAAACTCAGGTGATATTTTACACTAAACCGAAAACCCACAACACTCTAAATGTAATAAAAGGGAGATCTACACCACAAAAAAGATGAACTCTAAACCAAAACGTAACAGCTTATCCCAACGCAAGAAGCTGTTAGCGAAGATGCTAACAGTAGCTTTACCAACGTTAAGTTCAAGTTACCAAGTTTAAATAAAACAAAAACACACAGCAGCAAACAGACCAGCATGGAGGAGAGACTGCTACCACCAAAACAGCTCTCCTAATGTCTGAAAGAAGCTCCTTAATGAAGGGAGAAGCACTCCCGGTGATTTTCTACATCTGCGATAGACACGAAGCAGCGCATCTGACCCCGGAAGTTGTTGTCCGTTGCCGGGAGACGAAGGCGGGCAAAACAGGAAAATAATCTAGTAGTGGACGGACGTTGTTCCGGGTCTTCGGTATTTGGCGGAGATGTTAGTGAAGGGGGAGAAGAGGGCGAACTAGAGGAAAAACAGGCAGATTCCTCCTCTATTTACAAACTCCTGGGGATGCAACAAGTGGGCGCGGTGCGTCGACTACCGGATCTGACGTCGACAAATTTTTAGAATCGAGCCGTCGACTTCGTTGAGGCTTCGCTACAGCCCTAGTCGCCAGACGTGTTTTTTCCGACCGAGTGAGGCATCTCACTTCATTACAATCTCTGCCAAGAGTCGCCCATGAGCAATAGCTTCTCTGCTGAGCGTCAACAGAAATGGCTGCGTCTAACACAGCAGCTACGCGTACCAAAACATCTAAAGTTTGGGAGCATTCTAGCCTGGATTTGGCGAATAAAAAGATTACCTGCATTATTTGCAAAGCAGTCCTTGTGTATCACGGCAGCACCTCGCGGATGCATGAACACTTACGTCGGACAGTTGAATGAAACAGAGTCTGACTCACCTCGGTAAGATTTAAATAACACGAAAGCCAATACGTTTTGTTTTGGATGTACACTGTACTTTTTAATGTATTTTCGCTTTAAAAAAAAAGATTCAATTTTATGCCTGACTATGCCTGACAAAAGTATTTTTATTTTATTTATGCATTTATGTCTATACTGACTGAGCACTGTGCCTAATTGGTGTTAGACAGGTTATTTTTATTTACTTTTAGTATGAATTGGCCTATCAGCAGCAAAGTTCAATAAAATATGCATTTTCCATTGAAGTACCCATCTTTCTTGTGTTTATTATCATTTTTCACATTATTCAAGCAATCTCATGTTAAATTTAAGAAAAATTTAATAATTATCCGATTAGTCGACTAATCATTTCAATAGTCGGTGACTAGTCGACTATTAAAATAGTCGTTAGTTGCAGTTTGCACAAATTAAAATTATGCATCATTTTGGCTCTAATTATGTGCTGAACAGGAACTTTTAATGTTGGAATAAAAATATTCACCCCAAAAGCAGGCATGTTTAGGTTAAACTGTAAGACCCTTTGAATGGGGTGAATGACCGCTCTTATGCAGAAAAAAAAAATTAATTAAATAAAGAGTCCAAGACATAATATCTGATAAGGCCCCTGAAAAAATAAAACAATAAATCCACGTAACAGAGAGTTCAGTATCCAAGAGAGTAAAAGGCAGAAATTCCCTTTTAATCCCAAAGAAGGTACCGTAATCATTGCTTTTTAATAACAATGTATTGGATTACATTCATTACAATAAAGTTAAGTTAAAGTTTGGCTCCCTAGAATAAGCCTAGCACAACCTTGCTGCTGCTGTTATAATACCAAACAGGTTTACATATATTAAAAGTCCAAACGTATGAAAACTTTAAAAGTAGCACAGGGCCCAACTCTTGCTAAAATATTATTCTAATGAACTAAGGCAGCAGAGAGCCTGTGAGTTACAGGTGAAACCTGAAAATTTTGAACATTGTGAAAAAGTTCTTTTATTTTAGTCAAATCAAAAGGGCCACAAACCAAGTACTGAGTACATATGTATGATTATACATTTCAGAGGTCTGACATTACTCTATTTAAAATCCTTGTTTTATTGATTTCATGTAAAATTCTGAGATTTCGTATTTTGGGTTTTCCTAAGCTGTAAGCCATAATCATCACAACTCAACGGCCCAGGCACTCTGCCTTTTACATTCCCATGGCAAAGCGTTAAACAGCATCAATTAAATTGATTCAGGACATTTTTTTAAACCATTAAGAAAGGTTTGTTCCTTGAAACATAGCTCATATCCCCCACCCTTATTAGATACTGGTTTTAGACATAAAACCTTTTACTTCTATAGAAAAAAAGTCTGAAGTTGTTTCACACATATTTAAAAAGACTGGTATTCTTTTTATTTCAAGCACTAAGTTTGGCCTACATGTAGACGACATACATCAGTCCAACAAATGATGATGGATGATATTTGTGTTTAAACTTTATAGGCCAGCAGACCACAAGGGTTGCTTGTGTGAGAGATCATTGTTTAGTCAACAGAATATTGAGCTGCAACTGGTTCATGCTACACATGAGAATAGGGAGCGATAGTTCTGCCCTATCATTTTTATGCAGATGACATCCAACTGTACATCTCCTATAAGCCCCATGAGATGTCTAAGCTGCAGCTGTTACACACCTGCTTAGATCCTGTCAAAACCTAGATGGCTGGGAGCTTTCTTCAGCTGAATGAAGATAAGACTGAGATCCTCATCTGTGCCCCAGACAAGCTGGTTTCCAAAGTCAGAGACTCTCTTGGTCAGCTTGCTTCTCACACCAAACCTTCTGTCAGGAATCTTGGCGTGACCTTTGACCCAGCTCTCGCCCTGAATTCTCATGTCAGTTTTCTTGTTCGCTCTTCCTTCTTCCATCTCAGGAACATTGCTAAGCTGAGTCCCATTCTGTCCCGCTCTGAACTTGAGAGAGTTCTCCACACCTTCATCTCCTCATGCTTAGACTACTGTAACTCTCTTTTCACGTGTCTGAGCAGAACCTCCCTGAACTGTCTGCAGGGGGTTCAGAATGCCTGTGCTCAGCTTCTGACCAAGTCCTCCAAACACACCCACATCACCCCGCTTCTCCTCCAGCTTCACTGGCTGCCAGTCAACTTCAGGGTTCATTTCAAGATCCTGGTTCTGGTCTATAGGGCCTTACATGGACAAGCACCATCTTACATTGGTGATCTTCTTAGTCCCTACACCCCCAGCAGGTCCATATATGTGTGTGTGTGTGTGTGTGTGTGTGTGTGTGTGTGTGTGTGTGTGTGTGTGTGTGTGTGTGTGTGTGTGTGTGTGTGTGTGTGTGTGTGTGTGTGTGTGTGTGTGTGTGTGTGTGTGTGTATACATATATATATATATATATACACATATATATATACATATACATATATACACACACACGCACACACATATATATATATGTATATATATACACAAACACACACATATATACATATATATATATATACACACACACACACACACACACTAGGGCTGGGCGATATAGACCAAAACTTATATCTCGATATCTTTAAGCTGAATTCCGATATACGATATAGATCTCGATATTTTTCCTCCTGTAAACTGTTGACAAGTTAACTCACTTCAAGCTCTTGAGAAATTATATACATAAATCAGTAGGTTAAATGCATAAAAATGTATTGATTCTTGTCAAACTTTAACCGTAGTGCCTATTCTCTACCAGTCTGAGCTTTAGTAACACAGGTACAGCTGTCTGCTAACACACACACTAGGGCTGTAGCGACGCCTCAATGACGTCGACGGCTCGATTCTAAAAATTTGTCGACGTCAGATCCGGTAGTCGACGCACCGCGCCCACTTGTTGCATCCCTAGGAGTTTGTAAATAGAAGAGGAATCTGCATGTTTTTCCTCTAGTTCACCCTCTTCTCCGCCTTCACTAACATCTCCGCCAAATACCGAAGACCCGGAATAATGTCCGTTCTCTACTAGATTCCTTTCCTGTTTTGCCCGCCTTCGTCTCCCGGCAACGGACAACAACTTCCGGGGTCAGATGTGCTGCTCCGTCTCTACCGCAGATGTAGAACATCACCGGGAGTGATTCTCCCTTCATAAGGGAGCTTCTTTCAGACATTAGGAGAGCTGTTTTGGTGGTAGCAGTCTCTCCTCCGTGCTGGTCTGTTTGCTGCTGGGTGTTTTTGGTTTATTTAAACTTGGTAACTTGAACTTAACATTGGTAAAGCTACTGTTAGCATCTTCGCTAACAGCTTCTTGCATTTGGATAAGCTGTTACGTTTTGGTTTAGAGTTCATCTTTTTTTGTGGCATCGATCTCCCTTTTATTACATTTAGAGTGTTGTGGGTTTTTGGTTTCGTTTAAAATATCACCTTGAGTTTGGTTTAACCGCCCAGTTTAGAGTTGGACCTTTGGAGATTCTTATTTTTGTCCAGAACCCTGTAATCTTTGCCCAGTGGGACACCCCTACTTATTTGTACTTTTGTTTTAATTCCCCACAGGCAGAATTAGTTTTATTATTCCCAACCTGTGGATGGAAAGGTTTATGATTTTTTGTAGTTGTAAATAAACCTGATCATCATTTTAACTTTTAAATCCCGTTATTGTCCCTTCCTTTTTGCACACGAGCCAAACTCCCCAGGAAGAGTCGTAACACCACTCACCTCACGCACA